TAACAATCAAAAGAAATAAGACATCTTGTTCCAAGTAGTCATAGAAAATAAAACAGAAAGCTCATTTAAATATTTTCCTTTGTTTGAAAGGGAGTCTGGTAGCACCTAGATTTTCAACTGAATTCAGCAGAATCTTATCAATTACTAGATTTTGTAAAATCCAGCATATTGACAACGGAAAAATGTAGTGACCATCAGTTGCTCATGTTCATGACCAAAATCATAAAAGGCCAAAGTGTAAGACACATCCCCAAGGTGAAAACCAATTACAAATCAAGCATCTTAAAGAACAGTCAAAGAATTTACCTGCTACTGAGTGAAACATTGAGTTCTAAAGCTTTGATACGATTGGTCAATCTCATAATGGCCGTCTCCCGCTTAGCGATTGATCCCAATGGAACTTTCACCAATTCCAGGTCCTTTGGTTTGCCAGCAGCCTTGTCTTTTGGAAGAATTTCATCTGCTATTGGCAATTCAATTCCAGGCCTTGCTTTTTCAGGAGCAGACACAATTTCACTGGATGATTGAGCCTCAGTACTGACTGTAGACACAGTGGGTACAATTACATCTGGTTGAATCTGACTACTTTCAGGGGGAGGTAAATCTGCTGTTTCTGATTCCATTTGAGTTTGTTCTCCAAGACTCTGCGATGTTGTTGCTGTGACATCCAATTTTTCTGTGGAGATCTCTGATTGGTCGTTATTTATAGAAATTTCACTGGTGCTAGGCTCCAAGATGATTTGGCTGGTCGTGTCGATATCTTGGGTAGCTTGCGATTCTTCGCCACTTTCTGTCGTCTTTGGATCCTTCTGTTCAGTCAAATTCACCACCACTGACTTAGTAGAATCTTCTTCAGCAATTTCACTTGATTCCGTTGCAAGATCGTTCAGCCGCGTGCTTTGGGATTCCTCCAGACTTTTAGTTACCGTAGCTTTAATGCCAGGATCTGATTGAGTTGGAACTATTTCAGACTGCATAACTTCAGACTCTTTGTCACTGGATGTTAAAGACTCTTCCGAAGACGACCCTGACCCTAATGTCTCGCTACTCTGAACAGTGGTAGACACAATCACAAAGTCTCCTTTCTGACAGACACTACGTAAGGGGAATTTTAACATAGTTTGTATATAAGAACAGAGTTTTTTAGGAGAAGTAAAACTGTTATTCAGACAGGCTTTGACGTCCGGGGAGGAGGTGAGAAGTTTTTCAGCTTCCAATTGTTCGTCATCATCTAACTTGGTGACTATTGGGGGATCTGTTGTCTCGGCACTACTTTCTGCTGGAAAAAAAAAAGGATTCAATAGTGTATTCTGGATTAATGCCTTCAAATTCATATCATTCTATGAATAGAATACAAATTCAGTCAAAATGAAAGAAAGAAACAATCATATTTCAAGGACCTTCTCTACATACTAATCCTAAACAATCCCCAAGCATTTACAGCTGGGATTATTAGATTAATGAGGAAAGATGACTTATTCAAGGTCACCAGACTTTCACAAACTGACTGAGATTAGAACCCCAACCACCAGGGTTGTTAAATTGAACATCGCAAATGTCCGTTTTCGACAAGGTCCTTCGGTCATGAAGTATAGTTTAGACAAAGACACTCTGTCAAAATCCGACCACCATTTGCTCAATGTCATATCAATGTGCTACAGTCCAACTAAAAACAGATCTTTAAAATACACAGCCATCTTTTCCTGTTGCCTCAGAAGACAATAAAATTGTGCATGTAAACTCCTGAGCTGATGAGAAAGAAAGGAAGTTGTAAATATAATCACCTGAAGAATCTTTAATCGTTGGAGTCGGAAATAAAACAGTGGGTAAATCAACAGGGTTCATATCTTCAGGTCTGTAATATAACATAACATTAAAATTATTATTTAATCTATTAGAGAACTTATCATATAGTTGAGTATAATGTGCACCCCTTCCTTAAATCCAAGAAATTGTGAACATCCATTTTCCATTTTAGTACCATCAGCTGATATATTTAATGCTTGCACTTGTTGATAAGTGTTCAGGGTAAACTAAAGAAAGACTTATGTTACAGAGGGTACACAAGGTAAAATAGTACCATCAGTTGATATATTTAATGCTAGCTCTTGTTGATAAGTGTTCAGGGGTAAACTAAAGATAGACTTACGTTACAGAGGGTACACAAGGTAAAATTGTACCATCAGTTGATATATTTAATGCTTGCACTTGTTGATAAGTGTTCAGGGTAAACTAAAGAAAGACTTATGTTACAGAGGGTACACAAGGTAAAATAGTACCATCAGTTGATATATTTAATGCTAGCTCTTGTTGATAAGTGTTCAGGGGTAAACTAAAGATAGACTTACGTTACAGAGGGTACACAAGGTAAAATTGTACCATCAGCTGATATATTTAATGTTTGCACTTGTTGATAAGTGTTCAGGGTAAACTAAAGAAAGACTTACGTTACAGAGGGTACACAAGGTAAAATAGTACCATCAGCTGATATATTTAATGCTTGCACTTGTTGATAAGTTTTCAGGGGTAAACTAAAGAAAGACTTACGTTACAGAGGGTACACAAGGTAAAATAGTACCATCAGCTGATATATTTAATGCTTGCACTTGTTGATAAGTGTTCAGGGGTAAACTAAAGAAAGACTTACGTTACAGAGGGTACACAAGGTAAAATAGTACCATCAGCTGATATATTTAATGCTTGCACTTGTTGATAAGTGTTCAGGGTAAACTAAAGAAAGACTTATGTTACAGAGGGTACACAAGGTAAAATAGTACCATCAGTTGATATATTTAAAGTTAGCTCTTGTTGATAGGTGTTAAAGGTAATCTAAAGAAAGACTTATGTTACAGAGGGTATGCAAGGTAAAATTGTACCATCAGTTGATATATTTAATGCTAGCTCTTCTTGATAAGTGTTCAGGGTAAACTAAAGAAAGACTTACGTTACAGAGGGTATGCAAGGTAAAATTGTACCATCAGTTGATATATTTAAAGTCTGCTCTTCTTGATAAGTGTTCAGGGTAAACTAAAGAAAGACTTACGTTACAGAGGGTACACAAGGTAAAATAGTACCATCAGCTGATATATTTAATGCTTGGACTGTACCACTCTCTGTAATATTGGTGTCTATTTTATCAGTGTCTTTATTTACATTCAGAACCTTCTTGACTAAATTTACCACAGTATCTATATAGGGTAGAAAATAGGACATGAATTTTAGATTAAAATAGCTGTGCGCCTCTGATGGAAGATAAAATTGTAAAGAAATAAGTATTTCAGTATGATAACAATTTAAGATTGCAGTTCTTATTGTCATATGGTGAAACAAGCACCTGCTAGCTATTTTAATCTTTTAATCTTGAAGGAATATATTCACCTTTTGCACTCATAAAAAGATTTTTAGCCCCATCTTTACTTTCTTCTTCATCTGTGACAGCTGAAATCATCAGGAAGATATTTATTAGACAATGTTGAAGAGGGAATACAACTTTAATAGGTAATATATCAAGGCCTCTTACAGATCTAACCTCCCATACCCCCAGAATAATGAGCTGGGAAGATACATAACTATCTTACATATTCTTTTTGTGTGTGATCAATCCAATGCTACTAGATATCCACCATATTCTTAATCTAGGTCAAGCCTTGTTGATGGGTGAACAATCCAACACCTGTTCCTAACGATAAAACTAACCTGTCTCAAGACAGTCTAAACCCAGCTCACGTTCACTGTTGGTGGGTGAACAATCCAACACCTGTTCCTAACGATAAAACTAACCTGTCTCACGACAGTCTAAACCCAGCTCACGTTCACTGTTGGTGGGTGAACAATCCAACACCTGTTCCTACAGATAAAACTAACCTGTCTCACGACAGTCTAAACCCAGCTCACGTTCACTGTTGGTGGGTGAACAATCCAACACCTGTTCCTAACGATAAAACTAACCTGTCTCACGACAGTCTAAACCCAGCTCACGTTCACTGTTGGTGGGTGAACAATCCAACACCTGTTCCTACAGATAAAACTAACCTGTCTCACGACAGTCAAAAATCCAGCTCACGTTCACTGTTGATGGGTGAACAATCCAACACCTGTTCCTAACGATAGAACTAACCTGTCTCACGACAGTCTAAACCCAGCTCACGTTCACTGTTGGTGGGTGAACAATCCAACACCTGTTCCTACAGATAAAACTAACTTGTCTCACGACAGTCTAAACCCAGCTCACGTTCACTGTTGGTGGGTGAACAATCCAACACCTGTTCCTACAGATAAAACTAACTTGTCTCACGACAGTCTAAACCCAGCTCACGTTCACTGTTGGTGGGTGAACAATCCAACGCTTATGGAATTCTGCTTCACAATGACATTGTAGGATCAAAAAGCTTGACTAATGGATAATTCCTTTACATTCAACTTTTAACATCTTGGCTAATTCTGCTTTGTATTGATAAACATCAATCATTTTATGTAGCAATATGGATAAGACTTGATATTATCAATCCAAGGTCTTACCAAAATTTTTCAGGGTAACAAGTTAATTGGGTTTTACTATTTAATTCTAAATTTCAACTCACCATTATCAAGATCTGCCTCGGAATTGGAATTATTTTCATTTTCTTCATTATCATCATCGTCAGTAATAGGAACCCCATATAATCTACAAGATATTAATCCGTAGGAGAAGTCTTAAATATGACAGGATAAAAACATGGAGTTCTATTCAATGTATGTGTATCAGGAACAATTTGGCTTGAATGGAATCAGTAACATTGATCTGATCAAGTCTTCCTGGGATTAAGGAACATGAGTAAAATTTTGCCTGGACACCAGCATAAGCCTACTCTTTTTGATTTCCAACTGTTGATGAATCTAACGTGCACAGCCTGTAGCAGATGAGCAGCGAGTCTGCATCATTGACAGGGGAAAACTGGCTTGAAAAATCTATGCCAGGATTGAACGCGACACAAAAATTTCTCAATCACCGATTTCATTTCTCACCTGAAGAGAGTTACAGGACAGAAATGTTCATTTCCATAATGTTCTATTAATTCTACTTTGACGTATTTAACAAACTGGTCGTTCAAGGCTTGAAAAGACTGGACAGATCTTTCATCGCTAGCTTCGTACAGACCAAGTGGGATCCATTCTTTAGCTGGATATCTAGAACGAAACGATACAAATTACTATGAAGAGGTTTGTTAGATATCTGGAATAGAAATCGATAGATATTTTAATCTTAATTAGAACCAATCAAAACAATTGTTATCATGATGGTCGTTAGTGACTAGTGCTGGGTATCTCCAATCATACCATATCGTGACACATCGTATCGCAATATCTATTCATCAATATAACCAGCCAGCACTATTAGTGTTACTGAGGATACACCTCTCTCTTCAAGATGCCACTATGCCACCTCATATTCCGTTTAGATCTTAAACATGCACAGCCTGTGGCACAAAGTGCCTTGGTTTATTGTCCCATATGAAAGATTAGACGCTTTTTCCATGTCAGGCCCTTGGTTAGAGCATCAACATGCTTAATGCTATTGTTTATTTTCAAGAGTAGACTTTAAATTTCAATGCAACCAGTGCACAAGACAAGACTTTGTAATAAAGAAACATATCCATACTTCACCACACAAAAAATAATTTGACTGCGTTAAAAACAAGAAAAGAAAAAACATTATTTTTTTTAAAAAAATGTTTAAACATTGCACTATATTCCAACATGGCTAATAATTTTGATGTAGAATTTTGGTTGATCAATTTGGCATCTCTTTCAGAGAGTCCACACAGCTAATACTCCTTATTTGGTGTTAATATTTATCAACACAACATTTCTTTCAATGAATTCTCATAGGTAATGATGTTTATGTGGTATTTAGGCTTGTAAACTTGGCAAGCCTTTCAGAAAGTTGACATGGCTCATATCACTTATTTGGTATGTAGAATTGTCAATTTGGCATCCCATTCAGAAAGTCGTTGTCTGTTGGTGGTATTTAGGATAATTATATATAAGTAAATTATGAGTAAATTATTTCTGATTAAGTACAGAAGTTGATTGAAATTATAAAAGATAAAAGACACTAACCTGTCACTGATTGAAACACGAAAAGATTTGGGTTGAGAAGAGAAAAGTTCAAGGCTGGCGAGTTCTAGAAGTTTAACTTGTACAGGTTCACAAAGTTCTAATACAAACCTACATAGAAAATATAAACAAACAAATTACAAACAGAAATGAAAAGAACGCAAGAATGATAATGGTTACACAGTATTGACAGCAATGTGCCGTACACGGATGTACCATTTATTTTACATGTGCGACCTCGTCTGACCTCTGCATTTGCTTGTTTTGATAAACATGGGTTTTCTCTACAATATCAGCTAGTAGAATGAATCCAGTAGTTTCAAGCAAGGTAAAATGTATTAATGTATACTTTGACAAATACAAAATGGCGGATTACCAAATGTCACAATTTTTTATCGGTTGAATTTCCTTATAATCCCTGAACGAAGTCACATGGTCAACTAGAAAAGAATATGGATATTAAAGAAAACGTACCATTTTTTAGAGCTACAAGGATTAATCATGTATTCATCTTTATTAGCTGTTAAAACATGGTTGATATTTTCAGATTCAGGATTGGCTGCTAACACCTTCGCTCCACACGCTTTTGATGCATAATTATTGCGTAGTTTCTTCTGATTGGTTGATGGTTGTGAGGCTTTCCCTGTTGTAGTCTTGCCTAAAACAATAAGGTTTATTCAATCACTAAACTACAATAATCCTTCAGAGGTAGAGATCACATTAAATAAATGAAAATTTGTTTTGATTCCATTAAAAGCAATATAGAGGTTAGTTTAGTAAATATTTTCAATGGAATGTTAACATCCATCCTCTACTTTTAAACTCCAAAATTCTAGTAAATCCTCCTTTTCAAGTTAACAAAATTTTGATTCAGTTCTTGGTCCAACATTTGTCTTATGTCTTATTACTTACTTTCTTGTTTAGTTTTTTCTTGTTCAGCAAGAACTTTCTGAGTCCATTCAGCAAATGATGGGAAATCTTCTTCCTGTTTTACTGATTCAGGGTCGTCTGACCCTGTAGCAGGGTCAATGGATCTCTCTGGGGGTGCTGATATTGGGGTGGGGGAGGGAGCTTCCCCTGGGTCAGTGACTATATTAGAATCTAGAGTCACAGGTTCTAGTTTATCTGTAGATATAATACTATTATCTTTTTCTAATACTGGAGTGGCTTCATTGGTTGCTGTGTTACTAAAATACAAAAATAAATTTCAGTAAATTTTCATCTGATCTGAAGCGATCTGGTTGTTTTTCATGATATTTATAGTAGTGGCGCTAAGCAGACCATGCTTACTCTTTTCGAAACACCTGATGATACTTCTCTTAGGAGGAGTCCACTACTACACAACTTTTACTCTCGATTTTGCAATACTTTGGACGAGATTTTTATTAAAGAAATTATCTTGCTTGTACAGATTTTTTTTTTCGTGTTGTCAATACTATACTGTTTGTGCTAATGAGAACAGACTAAGCCATGAAGTGAGCATTGAGGGAAATTTGTTTTAAGTTTTTAGAATTTCCACTTGTCAAGGGATTTTTAATGTGCACAGCTTGTAGCACATGAAACCTTAGTTTATTGTCCAATCCAAAAGACTCAACTCTGTATCTCCTAGACCCTCTGACATACATCAATGACAGAGGGGGAAAACCAGGTTGAAATGTCACACCCTGGACCTTCAGATAGATGAGCAAGCGTCTAACGAACTGACAAAAAGGATCATCATCTACCTGGAGATATTTTGGGAGACATCAAGACTAGCTGTTTGTAGAGTATCAGTATGAGTTGTCTGCCCCTGCGACGTCTGTAGAGTGACGTCTGATTGAGATGACTGGAGTGACTGACTGACACTGCCATCTACCACTGTCTCTGTTAGTTCTACTGGACCCGCGCTTGAAACACTGAAAAACAATCATCAAATATTTTACAAGACTTTGATCAACTAACAAAGATGCTTTCTTGGCTGAGGATTTGCACTTCCACTGGACTCTTGCTTCAACCACTGAAAAACAGGCATCATATTTTTATTTTCTTCAAAAAACAAGGACAGACTGAAGTCATCATTATTTTATATGAAGGAAGGTCTAGTATCAAATTAAGATTGATTATCGAGGGCAGACTACTGGTCAATAATCGATTAATAATTATAATATTTTAATATTAATAAAATAACATGTTGTATCATTTGAATTATTAACCAAGCCCTACATGAAAGGTGTATAAAAATGAAATATTTACCTGGTGACAGTGAGAGAATCTGTTGACAGCTCTCTTGTTACTTCTTCAGTTTTACTGTTCTCAATGTTTTCCTGAAATATATAACAATATTTACATTAGACTAATACAAATTGCCTCACAACCAAAACATTAGGCGTAGTAATTTTAATCAATGACGTCGTTATTCAATGACGTCATTGTATCAAATAGACGGACTCCAATGTAAACAATCATGTCAGTAGTCCCAAACGTTGAAACATAAAGAAATAGGCCCGACTTAAATTCATACTAAAGTCTTTGTATCAAAATTAGAATGTCTTGAAAACGTAAATATAAGCAATAAACTGTTACCCAATTTTCCAGCCAACCTTTGTCCTGATATACAACCTTAACTGCCATAGGCTAATAGTTTATTGCTTAAATAACAGTAATTAATATTGTATTTAAGTAACATTACTATTGATATGTTCTTCAACTATTTGCCAACCCACTACCCAACTAATGGGTATATGAAAGCGCTTGCACAGTTTCTTTGGTGACGAATGGTGAAAGGTAACACTTGGCCAACACATGATGTATGGAGGAGTTTTTTATTCATCAGTAAAATTGAGAAACAGGTATGAATCTACATGTTGTCTTGGGATCTAACACCAGAGAGAATAGATTTTCATTGAACTAGACTTGATATCCTCTGTGTACAATATAGATATAGATTTTTGTGATATCAATAACTGCTATTTCATAGGAATAATGGGTGCGATCAACAATGACATTTTATAATCACAAACTAAAATTATTTCTTTTTACATTTCTGTGTTTTTTTCTTTGTGTTCTCAAAATTTAATTAATGAACCACTCCTTAATCAAAACCAGACTATGTGTCTCTATTATAAACAAATTATATATGGACATTTTTTTATATAAAACAATGTATATGGATTTCCCTGCCTGACTGAATTCAGATAAATATTGTCAAAATTACTCTTGTATTACTATCTACTGATATCACTGTTGATAATAACTCAGTAATACTTAATAACAACTAGTAAACACAGATCAATATATGATAACAATTAACTTGTATTACTATCTACTGATATCACTGTTGATAATAACTCAGTAATACTCAATAACAACTAGTAAACACAGATCAATATATGATAACAATTAACTTGTATTACTATCTACTGATATCACTGTTGATAATAACTCAGTTATACTCAATAACAACTAGTAAACACAGATCAATATATGATTACAATTAACTTGTATTACTATCTACTGATATCACTGTTGATAATAACTCAGTTATACTCAATAACAACTAGTAAACACAGATCAATATATGATAACAATTAACTTGTATTACTATCTACTGATATCACTGTTGATAATAACTCAGTAATACTCAATAACAACTAGTAAACACAGATCAATATATAATAACAATTAACTTGTATTACTATCTACTGATATCACTGTAGATAATAACTCAGTAATACTCAATAACAACTAGTAAATACAGATCAATATATGATAACAATTAACTTGTATTACTATCTACTGATATCACTGTAGATAATAACTCAGTAATAATAATCAATAACAACTAGTAAACACAGATCAATATATGATAACAATTAACTTGTATTACTATCTACTGATATCACTGTAGATAATAACTCAGTAATAATAATCAATAACAACTAGTAAACACAGATCAATATATGATTAAAATTAACTTGTAATATGCTCAATCAATTACAACCTTTTATTGTTAATTGACATTAGATCAATTAAAGCCAAGAATTGATTCTGAGCATGATTGGATCTCATGTTTAATATTGAAGTTTGACAGCAGATTACAGTTCAGATCAACATCCAAGAATCTTGAATTGTACAAGGGTCTTATTTTATCTTCAACATGTCACAAACTACATATTTTTACTGTATTTCCCTGTAGCAGATAACTATTTATATGGGACCTAGAGATTAAAGATGGGTTCCCTTATTTACATTTATGAAAATGAAAATGATAATACTTAAAAAGAAAGTAGAGGTGTTCTAATGACTTGGAAAAATACCAAATGTCCATAGTCGATATATTTTGAAAATATGAACCTCTAAAATACGACAAACCTCTCTTTAATGAAAATACTCATTGATCTTCCCTTAAGATAAAGTGAACCACAGTCCCATATATTTATTGATAAGAGGGTATAATTTAAATATTCACGTTAGTCACTTCGGAACATTAAGTCCTCAAATTAAAAGGCCAATACTTCACTCCTCAATTACACTAGAATACTTTTGATCAATAACAACAGGTATAAAACAGCTTAAAAGACAACACACCAAGTTCTTAATCTACCTTTTTCTACATTACATTGGTTAGAATTATTTCAATCACTTGAGTCCAGGGACACCTGCTGACAATAATATAACTTATAAATTAATATTATTGACTACAGATTACCTGTTTTCCAAAACCTAACGTGTTTACTTGGTATTACTCTTTTTCAAAATGATATACCTTTTGTACAGTCTAATTACAATTAGACAAACCTTTCGTTCCATTTTCTATAAGCTTTTATTTTAATATAGCCACTTCAGTTAGGGTCTAACAACAGCCCTTTTGAACATTCATCAAAATAACCTTTGACCTTATCTGATCAACACTGCATCACAAAATGCCAGCGCTGGACAAGGAAGAAATTGGATTGGTTAAAGCAGATATCATCGAGTTAGGTGAAAAGGTTAATTTGACAAATGTTCAAGAGGGCTGTCGTAAGACTGAAGTGGCTATATTAAATATAAAAGCTAATAAAAAAAACAGAACGAAAGGTTGGTCTAATTTTAATTAAACTGCCTTTTATAGACACTACAAGATAAAAAGTATTGTAAAGGTTTTATAAACTTTTTATGTCAGATTTCCATGGTTACTATGATTATAGAAATGCTCAACTGATATGATATCACCATCACCATAGAAGCGTATAAATTATTAGCAGAATTTGATATAGTGACATTATAAAGCACTTAGTTTAAGTAGAATTTCAAGACCAATAACACTGACAGAAAATTCTATAAAGATATCCATACCAAAGCACAAAGCTCATTTTGTTCATCTGTATTTTTTTTCACTTGTTACCTCTTAAAGGGATTGTAAACAGGCTTTATAAATTTTCTATGTGTTTCGGGGACACTAATAGTATCAATTTGCATCATTCTAATTTCAATCAGATGCCTGATGCAATCTCAGACATCTCACCCCTCCTCGGACGTAAACCTGGCTCTGCCAATGTTAATCCCAGAAAAAATACAGTATGATATAACTGGGTTAAGAGAGAACAAAACCATATGGTTGACAGTCTGTCTTGTTTAACACAGTACATACTGACATCTGGTAGACATTTATATTGTCTGGTTTGACAGGCTGTTTGATTCTAGCTGGTATATATCTAGGTCAACAACCACCTAACTGTAGTCACGATTTCATCAGATACATCTTGTATGTATTAATGTGAAGTTCACAACGTGCACAAAAGAAGTGCCAGTGGGGATACAGAGGGGAAAGTGTAGGTGTATCGCAAAAAGAAGAGATGTATCATTAAAAATGTAGGTGTATCGGATAATAACCTACTGTAAAGATCAAAGGATCGAGAAAAGTATGGGTATAAGTATATATCTTCAACCACTTTATTATTCAGAGTCAACAGTCAAAGTACATCTGTTTCTAGAGAAATGTTAAATACAATTTTAACCAATGAAAACCACATTACCCACTGTAACATTTTTAACAAA